CACAACACAAGCTGTTTTGGTGACTTGCTGCCTCACACAACCAAAGCCATTTCTCTAGTTGATGCACTACAAGCTTATCTTACAAAGATGGCATACATGCCTATTTATAGGCTACATGAACCGACCTTGACCCCCAAGGCTTCAGACCAATCTGAACAATACAGCTCAGAAGCACCTAGCTATACTACCCCACTACCAGTACAAACGGCTCATTTACTGATGTCATTTATAGCTCTAGCACAAGACAAGCAAAAACCAAATTGACTACTAGCCAACTGAATACTTTTACTAGCTAAGTGTTGGTGTAAACTGACCCATAATAATGCCCAGTTAATTAAGCACGGCACACTTACAATTCATGCTACGACGACACTCAAAACGCGGATTGTAAGGACGAGTTGCAGCGCCGGAGACCTAAACTGACCCATAAAATGATAATGCCTAGTTAATTAAGCATGGTCTCCGGCGCTGCAACGCGTTTTGAGCTTTCTAGTTTTCTTTGTTTTCCGCTGCGTCCACCAAATCCATTGATATTTTGTGTTTCTCACGTCATAGGAGTCCACCAAACTTTTGTTCGTCAGCCTTTTTCAATAGGATTTCTGTGGCCTCTCTTTGCATTGTTCATCTAAGCTCATTCTCTTGCCGCCGAGCTTCTTTCGCCGTCGGTTTTCATGGGCCATGATTCTTTAAGCAATGCTTCATTCTCTTGACGTGCCATCTTCTTTTGACAACCCATCTTCTCTTGATACTTAAACCGTAGACTCGGTGTGTGGTTGCTAAATTGTGGTGTGCTCAACTTATTTATAGTCTATTGCGGATAGAAGTAGCCGTGTAAACAGGAAAAGGATGGCTAGCCAAACCAAAGGATAAAATAGGTAAGAGCTGGTTAGGCAAAAGGGATTATCATAATCCACCGCAACACTGAACTCAGTAATAGAAACACATATATACTCCCTCTGTAAACAAATATAAGACATTTTAGGTCACTACTTTAGTGATATAAAACGCCTTACATTTGTTGACAGAGGGAGTAAGTAATAAGGATAAGCTCTGAGCAATTTTCGGCCAAATTTTGAGCAATTCGGTATGAAAATCAAGATAAAAGCTAGAGGACCTACCTCCTTTGAACAAATACATTAATATCTCTATCTCTGCCGTTCCCCCTTGACGAAACATCGATAACTGCTTGCAGTAACGAGCTAACAGCAGCCTGCAAACAATTTATGTAATAATTGAGGGAGAAGAAAATTCGAATCTCACCAAAAAATTGTAATCTGCAGCTGGCTTATTGAAAGATATCCATGTGGAATTAAGATGTGGAATTAAGAAATACTCCCTCTGTTCACAAATATAAGATGTTCTAACTTTTTTGTAAATCGGATGTATATAGACACGTTTTAGTGTGTTCACTCATTTCTGTCCGTATATAGTCCATATTTTGAAATATCTAAAACATCTTATATTTGTGAACAGAGGGAATATTAAAATAAAGCATGTCAGTTGTGGTGCTTGGACCTAAGTTGATTAATAGTGGCAGCATCTTCACAAGTTCACACGTATTTTCCAGAGCAAAATCACTTCCACCAGGAAGCTTGTCACGCAGCCATAGAATACTGGGCCCAGCCGGATAAATCCTAATTGCTTTTATTGCTTTCCAAGTCAAGTTAGTTTGGTTAGTATGGATTGTGTTTAGATATCTCCTTGTTAGTTGAGTCGGTTCAAGTCTTTTGTAAACTACTGCCAAGCTCTCTGTTTTTAAGGCGTCCCTAAGGCGTCGCCTAAGCGACGCCTAGGCGTCAGGGCGCCCCAAGGAGCCAAGGCGTCGGCCTTGCCTTACATGTGTGCCTAAGGCGTCCGCCTTAGTCCTTAAGGCGTCCAAGGCGTCCGCCTAGGCGCCACTCTGCCTGCCTTAGGCAAATAAGGACGCCTTAGACAGAGCTGGGTGGTTTAGGCGGGAAACAGATAACTGGGAGGGAAGGAAAGGGCGGGAAAGTCTGTTTTGGCGCCAACAGGTACTAGAGGGAGAGAGAGAGAGACCTGTAACGATTTTCAGTTTCCCCCCACCCCCCAGGCTGGATCTGAGCTTCTCCCCCTCCTCTACAGCAGCTTCTCCCCCTCCTCTCTGGCAGCTTCCCCCTCCTCTCCAGCAGATCCCCCTCCCCCTCCTC